GCTGATCCTTTTCCTTTTGATGCTGCTGTCAAAACCCATAGGTATCATCAGGAGAGAAGTGCACGAGCAACAGAAATACTACGCAAATACCTCGGACTGAAAAAAAGAGGGAACGGTGGGTTTTTTGGAACAATATTAATTTCTTGAGTTTTCAATGCTGAGATGCCTCAGTTGGTGGAGGAGAGCAGCAGTTACGTGCCTCCACTGTCAGCTCACTCTCTGCAGTGCCAAATTCTATCTTGGTTTTGGCATCTCTAATCCATCCTTCTGTCTGTGCTCACATCTTTTCTCTGCCTTATGAACACTGCACAGTCCAACTTGTCAAACAGCAGTGATATTCCTGTATCTTTTTATCAGCCCTGCCAGCCCTCTTGTCTTTGAGTTAGCTGCCTCCTCCTCAGTAGCCTGAGGCTGCCAGCTTTAGCCTTGCCAGGTTTCCCCATATTCCTTGCCCCACTGTTTCCTGTCCTGACTCTCCAGGGACCAAGCATCTCAGGAGAGTGGGACCTGGGGAAATGCACAGTAGCGTTTATAACACTGGTCAGACAGCTGCTTCCCCATCCCCAGTCCATTTCTCACCTATGGTATAGCAACAGTAATTCTAAATATTATTGGTTTGGAGGTTTGGGCTTTTTTAAGCCTTTTTGTAAGGTTGCAGTGTGTGGGTTGGGCTTTTCTTTCCTTGCAGAACAAAGGCAGAGCTGCTTGTACACTCTGGCTGATGGTGTAGGATGCTTTCTGGAAGGGATTTGAGGGACAGACCTTGGTCTTTCAACCCGGGGCTACTGGAGGTTGCAGGGACGTGGAGTCAGGTTGGGGTTCTAGCAGCAAGTGCTCTTGGGTGCACTGGTGTCATGGGTGTTTCAGGGCTACTGGAGGGAAGGAAGGTGGCCTTGGGATGGGTGGCCAGAGGGGTAAGTGAATGACCTGTGGTATAAAAAAGCCAGGTACACACAGCTTGGTGTTTATCCCCTTTTTACACAGCTTGGACTTGAGGCAGCACCAGGTCTTTGGGGGCTGAGTTAAATGTAGGTTTGACATAAAAAAAAAAACCAACACAACAAAACATGATAACTGTTGAAGGTGCCTAAAAAAGGTTGGCAAAGTGAACTCGTATCTGGCCGGGGACAGGGGTATAATTTTGTCGCAGGTCAAGAGGAAAATACGTCCCACAGTATCTGCAGCAGGGGTTGGGTAGGGAAGAAGAGGGAAAACATCTGCCCAAGGTGTACGCATGCGTGAGAGCGAGTGGCTTGGCGCTGCCCCTCTTGAGGCCAAGGGGCTATGGGGAGAGCAGTGGGGCTGGTTCGGCTCTGGGGCCTCCCAGCGTGGGGAGCAGGAGGAAGGAGAAAAAAGGTGTTTGTTGCACTTGGCACCAGTGTGGTCCTTGCACAGTCCTCACAGGACAGGTATGCAAGGTCCCCTGAC